ATTCAAATTTCTTTTCTATTTGTAATTTACTATTTTAAATTAATTATTTTTTATATTTAATAAATTATAAATAAATTATAAATAAATAATATGAAAACTTAATTGATACGAGTTCAAACAATTTTTTATTAAAATGATATTATTATTGGTATTTCCAATCTAACCTAAATTAGTCAATATATTCACAAATTCAGGCGATTTAAATCTATTATTGAAAATGCTACTAAGATGCCATTTTGCAAGCGGATCATCAGCTGGATGAATAGTACGATCTATAGCTATAAAAGCTGATAGATTTGTCTCATCACTATCTGAAAAATTTTCTCACTAATCATACCCATCCAATTTTGAATTACACGCACCTATTGTTCTGTTGAATCAATGGTATCATTATCACTACATTTAAAATCGGGTCCATGAAATTGTGTAAAAGATTCTTCTTTACTACTGATTGTTATATCATTAGCCATCTCACTATTGTCATCTTCTTTTTCAGAAGTTTCAGAAATATCTGAAACATTAGAAATTTCATAAGGTTGTATAGGAATCACTATATTATTTTGTTTATAAATTTTTCTGATTTTTCAACTTCAAATTTTTTTCTTTTACGTAAAATATCACTCCTTAATTAACTCATTCCAAGTACTTTTTTATGCTTTTAAATTAAATTAAAATATTTAATAATATATCAAAAAAGTAATAAATCAATAAAAGTCTAAATTTTACTTACATAAAGTCGATTTCGCCTTTTGAAGTGTAAAAATCCTATATTAGACCAGAGTCGTTCTACTAAGGCAGAATTAATACAAATTCTATATAAATGAAGTACAAAGCGTGATAATTCAAATGCTTGCCCTTTTGCTAAATCTCAAAAATCTATTATATCCCCACCAAGTTGATTAAAAGTTTGCATATCAAAAGGATAAATTTTTCATTGATAAGAAAAGTATTCACGTAAAATATGTTGTAGTATTACACCAAACCAAACCTGATAATAATAATTGATCCACTGACCAAAATGAGTATAAGAAAGATTTAGAATATTATCATTAAAAAGTAAAAGACGATACTGTGAATGTAAAACTAAAGATAAAAGTAAGAGAGGTTGTTCCCATTGATTCTAATGATTTTCAAGGTGGGTAATCATTTGATTAGAAAAATCCTCATTTTGATGACTAAAAAATACTTTAGTTATCTATCCAAAAGCAAGAATTACTTCATGTAATTGTGCTATATTTTTTTGTAATTTGTTTAATGCTGCACAAAGTGGTAAAATTAGATCTTGAAGTTCATACAGATGGCTCAAAAAATTATGGTCATTAATGATGGCAATTATATCTGGAGGAAGAAATTTTTTATCTGTACTTAGAATATGTCTTTGTCTCTTATAACCACTTCGAGATGTAGAAGGACCTTCAAGACGTTTAGGTGCAAATTTTGTAGCTAAAGTCTAAAAAAATAAAATTAAATGAATATTTATTCATTAATCAATAAACTAAAGCATAAATTTACCTTAAGTGCTGCTTCAGTTTTTAAAATACTGTGAAAACAGAAATAATAACTATTTCAACGCGTTTCACCTGAAGTAGCCAAAACTATTGTTTTACCATATAATAATTCTTGCTCATTTCGTAATAGACTAGTAAATAAGTTGATGAATAAAAATAACTAACAATTTTAACAGCTCTTGTTGAAGTTTGCTGATAAATATCTGATTCTTTAAAGATATTTCCCTTAATTAAATTCATTTGGTGAGCTATGCAAGGTAAAAATATCTTATTAGGATAATCTTTTCGCATAATCCTTCTATTAAAATAAATAAATTAATTAATAATTAATATATAAAATTTTAAAATAATAAAATTTATACATACCGCGTAGTAGCATATTCACCTGCTGAGTCAGATACAAAACAATTTATTTTAATATTATTTTTTTCAACTTTAATCATTATACTTTTAACATGATCAATTATATTTTCAGTTTTTGATCTTATATCACTTATATCTTTTGCACCCCAAATGAGTGTTTCATCTGTTGATATTATAAAAACAACACTAAATAGATGCTCTTGTTTAACATTTGTCCAACTATCAAATGCTGCTGTTACTCCAATTTTATCATTTTATGCAATTTTTGTAATAGATTCTGTTAATATTTTAGTTGATTTTGGTAAAATTCGGTCACTTATTCTTTTCTGACTTGGTAATTTTAAGGCTGGAGCAATAAATTCAAATATATCTTTGGTTTCTTGATTTTCAAAAAAAGTAAAAGATAATCCATTTGAAACTAACATTTGTAATAGTAAAATTTCAAAATATGGCTTATCTTTCTTTGTTAAAGGTCGTGATAAATAATTTGTAATAGGTAGTTGAGTAGTAGTAATTGGTTTTGATAATTGAATTGAGGTTTTGTCATCATTACCATCATTTTCTTCATCACTTTCATCTTCACTTTCAGAATCTAAAAATTTATATCACAAAAAAGAATATTGATATTTCTATTAGAAATTAAAAAATTAAAAGAACTTAGAAGAAAAGTGTAATTTAAAACTATTAAATATTTAGTACCTTCAATTAT